TATAATTAGTGATGTCGCTGTTCTTTCTGTTGAAATTTCCATTATCATTGTCCTCACCGTCAGTGTGTGTGTGTGTGTGTGTGTGTGTGTGTGTGTGTGTGTGTGTGTGTGTGTGTGTGTGTGTGTGTGTGTGTGTGTGTGCGCGCGCGCGCACGCGCATGCGTGTGAGCATGAGAGTAAGAGTGAGAGTGAGTGCGTGCGCGTGTATAGCCAGAAATAATCACTTCTGTAGTCACATGTTATATGGTAATCACACATAGTACCTGTTATCCATTCATATCACACTTAAACAGTCATCACACCTACGCAGCCTTCATCCCCAAAGTCATCCCACTCAACCCGTTCCGACTGCTAAATCCACGTAGTCCTGGCACAGCTGCAGCACGCGACCCGGAGCAGCTGCAACAGCGAGGAGCCAAATCACTAAGCAATTTACTTTCCCGCTGGACCTTTACCGGGACAATAACGACGGAGGAAAGACCACTCTGAAGGACTTCCTGCCGGAGGAGCTGTTACACTGATGAGAGACGGAAGGGCGAAGGTGGTTCGGTGGAGTAAACAAGGCAATTTGCTCGTAGAAAGTTTAATCAGCTTGTAGGGGATTTGTTTGTTTTGTCTGGGTGAAACCTTGGTATGATGATTGTTTGGGATTTTTTTTTTGTGTGTGTGTATTTTTTGTCTTTTTCGCTCCTTTTTTCCGTTTGTTGTCACACACTGTTGGGGTTGTATGTTAGAGATACGGATCTTTGTTAGGTCTGGGTGAGTTTCTCTCTCTCTCTCTCTCTCTCTCTCTCTCTCTCTCTCTCTCTCTCTCTCTCTCTCTCTCTCTCTCTCTCTCTCTCTCTCTCTCTCTCTCCCTCCCTCCCTCCCTCCCTCCCTCCCTCTACCTCTCCCTCTCTCTCCCTCCATTCCCTCTCTCTCCCTCTCCCTCCTTCCCTCCCTTACCTTCCCTTCTTCCCTCTCCTCCCACATACCTTCTCTTCCCCTCTTATCTCTTCCCTCGTTCCCTCTCCTCCATTCTGATTCATTGAATTTGCTCAGTATGCATATTTAATATCATATGGATTAATTGTGCGTTGATGACGTCAATTATTTTTTCCGCTTCAAAATTGCTCCAAGAATTCGTAACATGAAGTTCAGAGCAAACTGTATGTTTAATGAGTAACGCCTGCGGGGTTAATCTGGCAGGGACGGACACTGTGTAGTCATTCAGCCTCACTTTTATCACTGTTACCAAGCATCACCATCATCATCATCATCATCAACCTTATCATCATTACTCAAGAAATGAGGTTCATATCGGCGCTGGTGAAAGATCTGTTTTTGATCGTACGCGGTTGGTGCATCGGCTGAAAAAAGGCGCTCAATTTTTGGCGTGACAGCTCGCAAGGGTCTGCGTTGAGCTAGGCTTGTTTTTGTTTCTTTTAGTCTTCTTTTTGCTTACTGTCTCACTCCCTCTGTCTGTCTATTAGTCTGCCTGGATGTATGTATGTTTGTTTGTATATCTCTTTATATGTATGTGTCTCTGTTCGTCTCTGTCAGTCTATCTGTCTATATGTATGGCTATCTATCTATCAGTCTATATCTCTGTATGTATATCTGTCTGTCCATCTATCAATTTATCTATCTATCCTCTCACTCTCACTCCTCTCTCTCATTCTCTCTATCACACACACACACACACACACACACACACACACACACACACACACACACACACACACACACACACACACACACACACACACACACACACACACACACACACTCACTTGCCACTCACTTCGACTGCGAGGCTTCGCTGATGATTCATAAAGGCACCTGATAGCTTCATCTTCGGCCTCGTTCTAATTAAGGATAAAGCTGAGAGTGAGGTTCTTCTCAGACGTTTCATTATATGCTACTGTCTGTCTTCACTCTTTGCACACTAAATAGGGTTCCCTGGTGATCTGTTTAGTCTTGATGGGGTTCTAATTGTGGCCAAGAGGGTTCATTCAAAGGTTCAGCTTCGTTTGGCGCACGGATTCGAACGATGCTGTCAGTGATTACGGTTAATGTTTTGTCACAGCTCTAACGTCTTTATCGAGCCTCTTGCCTGCAGGTCTGCGTTGAAGGCGCGTTGCATTTTAGCTTTTTTTTTCTCTCTCTCCCTTTTTGTCATGATTTCAAGATTGGATTAGTAGCTTTGGACAGTGTCATATTTTACGAGAAGTGGTGTTTTTGCCAAGAGTTAATATTCGAAGAGAGATTAGTGGTATCCTTAAAAGCCAAAATGGGTTTATAAGTGCACCCACAAGGTGGTGAAGTCACTCAAAGAACTAAGTTGGAAAACGTCTTCTTGTCTCTGCTGTGCAAGAATGGCCGATAATGAAGGTTTCGGAAGACAAAAGAAAACGCGGTATTTCAGGTTAGTGAGATTCCAACCCCCGGTTCTCCTTATTTCATTAGAGTAATTACCTAAAATCAGGAAATAAAAGGAATGGATGGTAAAATTTAGGAATGAAGAGACGATGGAGGAAGGAATATCACGAAAAATAACGAAAAATCTGGGAATCCGTAAACAAATAAATGGTAAAATTTCTACAAAGAAAAAAAAGAGAGAGAGAGAAAAAAAAACAGATAAATAAATTATGAAGTACACAGAAAACGGAAGATCTCTTGAGTGTTGAGCGATGGGGAAAGGGTGGAGATAAAAAAAAAAAAAAAAAAAAAAAAAAAAATGGTGGGGGGGAACTGAAAAATAACCGATTCCCTCCAGAAAAAAGAGTCCTGCGGTGAAAATATTTACTCCAAGGTATACTCACCGCGTAAATAAACAGGTGATGCATTCTTCGGAAATGGCCGTGTGGTTCGTGTCTGCGTATGTGCTCGCGCGTTTCTTTGCGTGTCTCTGTCTGCGTGTTCGCTCATATTTGTTTTGTGTGTGCATGCATGTGGAAGCATGTGTTTGTATATTTATATGTGTGTAGAAGGGTTGCATATATATATATATATATATATGTGTGTGTGTGTGTGTGTGTGTGTGTGTGTGTGTGTGTGTGTGTGTGTGTGTGTGTGTATGTGTGCATATAATGTGTATGTATATATGTATGTTTATATATATGTGTGTGCGTGTGTGTGTATGTATCTATGTATACATCTATATATATATATATATATATATATATATATATATATATATATATACATACACACGCATATTCATATATAAATATATATGTGTGTGTATGTGTGTGTGTATGTATGTATGTGCGTGTGTGTGTATGTATATATGTATATGTATATGTATATATATGTGTATATAGATGTATGTGTATATATACATATCTATCTATCTGTCTATCTATCTATCTATCTATCTATCTATCTATATATATATATATATATATATATATATATATATATATATATATATATACACGTACACATATAGAGGTATATGTGAGAGAGACACAAATAAACAAACAGATTAAAAGACTACAGAGAGCAAGACAGCCAAACAGACACACATTGAGCCCGATAGTGAAATAACGTAGACAGACAGCCTGACAGACAGACAGACAAAGAGCGAGGGAGAGCGGCGCTGGGTGGCAATCTCGCCTGCTTAAGCAAAGCGAGGCGGGCGTGGCAGACGCGGCCATCGTGACGGGGATGATTGTAGGCTGTCATGGCGGGCGTACAGATGGCCAGATACGGTGTGACTGATCCTTGAGTTAACGAAGGATTGTAGGATCCTAGGATTAAGCGATTTAACCTCTGCAGTGGGTGTTTATCTTCCCCTCGAAGTCCGTTGGGTTGGTATGATTTTCCCGTGGTCCATTTTCCAGGGTTGTTTTGCGGGAGGGTTCGTATCTGTATTTGTCTTTTTTTTTCTTTTGTTTCCGGCTATTTTTGTCTTTTCTCTCCCTTTTTCTTTCTTTCTCTCTCTCTGGTTCTCCCTTTCTCTCTCTCTCTCTCTCTCTCTCTCTCTCTCTCTCTCTCTCTCTCTCTCTCTCTCTCTCTCTCTCTCTCTCTCTCTCTCTCTCTCTCTCTCTCTTCTCTTTCTTTCTTTCTCTTTCTCTTTCTGTCTCTCAATCCCCCCCCCCCCCACCGTCTCTCTCATCCCGTTGAAGGTTTAATGTGCAATATGTTTATTCATAGGGTCAGTTAAGTTGCATGGCACAATTATATATTTTTTTTCTCTTCTTTTTTAACCAGAATCTAGACTTTTAACTACGCATTTGCACGAGCTGAATGAATTATCGTGGAGGGTGTTACAAATGTGCTGTCAAGATAACATGTTAATATCTCCGAGACAGTTGTGACGTTTGCACGCACGCACACACGTACGTACGTCCGATTAAAACAGGAGACAGGAGATTTTTTTTTTTGTAATTTTGTTTATTCGGCGAATTCTTCATTGCGTGTGTATCGAGTTAAAAGGTTGTTGTTTTCGTGGTAGTCAAACGTGTTTATTATGCTTGTTTCTTTGTTTATCGTTTGAATTTCGAATAGTTTTGTTGTTGATGTTGTTTTATGCATCCTGTTTGTAAGGTTGATGTGCGTGTACGTGTCCCTATCTTTGCTTGGTAATATATATATATATATATATATATATATATATATATATATATATATATATATATATATATATATATATATATATATTACATACATATATATGTAATGTATATATACATACATATATATATATATATGTATATATATATATATATATATATATATATATATATATATATATATATATATATATATATATATATATATGTATATGTATATATATGTATATATATGTATATATATATAAATGTATATATATAGTTTTTCTCCCTCTTCTTTCTTAAGCATTCATCTCCATTGCAGTAAAGGTGTTTGTACATATTTTTTTCTTTTCTTTTCTTTTCGTTATATATTTGGAAAGAGAGAGAGAGAGAGAGAGAGAGAGAGAGAGAGAGAGAGAGAAATAACAAATATACTCACGACATCATTTCTTTTTTCAGAGAGCAGCCGAGAGAATCATCCAAGCATCATAAGGTAAGCCAGACATCAAAGTTTATTTTCAAAATATTACATTTAGATTTACACCGCGGATCTCTACATGTGTTTTTATTCTGTCTTTTTCGGGGGGTGGGGGTGGACTGGGAAGGGGCGGGGAGAAAGGGGTGAGGGAAGGAAAAGAGGGAGTAGGAGATCAACACGGAATGCAACATATTGGAGTTGCAAATCTTGTCTGTGAGTGAAATTGGTTCAACTAGGAGATGTCTTGCTATTCAGGAGACGAAGAAGGAACTCTGTCTTGCTTTCCCTCTGATGGCCCGGTGCTTGATAATGAGGCTGGCTTATTCACGTGCTTCCTCTTTTTATCTTTTTTTTATCTCTTTCTACTTTCATTTCTCTTTTTTTTCTCTTGTTTTTCGTTTCGTTCTTTTGTGTTTGTGTGTCTGTATGTATGTATGTTTGTTCGTTTTCAGTTTGTATATTGTCTTTAGTTTGTCTGTTTGTTTGTGTATCTATGTTTGTGTCTCTCTGTATATCCACTTGTCTACCTGTCTGTCTACCTATCTATCTATCTGTATGTATGTCTGTTTATCTATGTCTGTCTATCTATCAATCTATCTATCAATTTATCTGTCTATCTATTTATCTGTAAGTCTGCCTGTATATCTGTCTATCTGTCTGCCTGTCTATCTATCTATGTTTGTGTCTCTCTGTATATCCACTTGTCTACCTGTCTGTCTACCTATCTATCTATCTGTATGTATGTCTGTTTATCTATGTCTGTCTATCTATCAATCTATCTATCAATTTATCTGTCTATCTATTTATCTGTAAGTCTGCCTGTATATCTGTCTATCTGTCTGCCTGTCTATCTATCTGTCTGTGTGTCTGTCTGTCCTTCTATCCGTTTGTCTGCCTCTCTGTCTGCATAATATCTCCCTCCTTTGCTCCGTCTTTCTGTCGCTTCTGCTTCCCCCTCACACTTGCTCTCCCCTTTTCCTCTCCTTTCCTTATTTCGCCCTTCCCCTCCTCCCCAAGCCTCTCTCCCCTCCCTCTCGGCCATCCCCTTCTCCCTCTCCCTCTTTCTCTCTCCTCTCTCTCTCTCTCCTTCTCTCTTTCTCTCTCTTCTCCCTCCCCCTCACCCACTTTTTCTCCCCTCTCCCTCTCTTTCTTCCTCTCTCCTCTACATTTCTTTCTCTCTCCTTTCCCTTTCCCTCTTCCTCTCTCCTCTCCCTCTCCGTCTTTCTCCCTCTTATCAATCCTCTCCCTCTCCGTCTTTCTCTCTCTTATCCCTCTCCCCTTTCCTCCCTCCTCTCCTTCTCCCTCTTTCTCTCTCCTCTCCCTCTCCCATCACCACAAAGGAAGCAGCAAGCAAGTGAACACGCACACTAGGAAGTCGACTCATCAAAGGCAGGTATCTGTGCATGAGAGCGCTGTACAGTAATCGAGATTGACACCGTCTTGTGTAACCTAGCGAATTATGCGCCTTTACGTAGGGGTCGCGGCCCAAGGGGGGTAGGGGAGGGGAGTGGTAGGGAGGGGAGGGGGGCGGATGAAGGATGAATGGAGGGAGGGAGAGAGCGGACGGATGAGGGGGAGAGGGGGAGGGGAGGGGGGCGGAGGGAGGGAGAGAGCGGAGGGATGAGAGGGGAGGGAGAGAGCGGACGGATGAGGGGGGGGGGGGGGGGGGGGGGGGCGGAGGAAGGATGAATGGAGGGAGGGAGAGAGCGGAGGGATGAGGGGGGTGGGAGGGGCGAAGGAGGGATGAATGGAGGGAGGGGAGGGAGGGAGGGTAGTGCGTGTCTGCCTAAGGATGGGTGTGTTCATTTTCATGTTTCTCGGAAAGAGGGGGAGAAAGAGGAGGCGAGGGAAGGAAAGGACGAGGAGGAGGAACAGCAGGAAGGGGAGGAAGGGGTTGGTGGGGAAGAAGAGGAGGAGGAGGAGAAAGAGGAGGAAGAGGAGGAATAAAAGTAGGGAGAGGAGGGAGAAGAAGAGGGGAGAGAGAAGAAGAGGAGGGAGAAAAAGAAGAAGAAGAAGAAGAAGAAGAAGAAGAAGAAGAAGAAGAAGAAGAAGAAGAAGAAGAAGAAGAAGAAGGAGGTGGTGGGAAAATGGGCTGCGAAAAGGAACTGTTTTTTTAACATTAGGAAAGAGGGGTGAATAAGGAAAGTGGATGAAATTAGAAAGGGAGAGAGGGAAGGAAAAGAAAAATAAGAAATAAGAGAGAGACAATGAACAGGCAAGTGACCCGTCAAATTAAACGAATGAATTGAATAAGGTGATTAAATATTTCCACGAAGAAAAGAAAATCAAGAGAACAGATTATAAAGCACAAAAAAAAAAAAAAAAAAAAAAATAGGATAAATGCTAATAAAGCAAATAAACGGAATAAAGAAAAGGGGGGAAATGAAAAAAAAAATGAATATGAGAAAAGGAAATAAAGAGAGAAAGAAAAAGTGAATAAATGAGAAGAGGGATTTGAAAGCCTACACGTTTCCACATTTCAGCACATAGTAACCCAAGAGACACAGGCAGACAGGCAGTTTTTTCATGAAGGCTTTAGAGTAAGACAAAAAAAGAAAAAGAAAAAAGAGAGAGAGGAAAAAAAAAGAAAAAAAAAAGGTCGGAAAAAACATCTTCACACACCTCCATTGTTGAGTCGCAAGTTACGAGCGTCTCCTTGTCTGCTGAAGAAGGATCCTCGCCTTGTCCTCCCCCCCACCCCCCCACCCCCCAAACACTCCTCCCTCCCTTCCCTCCCTCCCCTCCCCCGTTCCCCTTCCCCCCCATCTCCATCCTTCTACTCCCCCTACCTCTCCCACCCACGTCCCTCCCACCCCATCCTCCACCCCCTCCCTCCTCTCCCCTCTTCCCCCACACCAACCCACCTCTCATCCCATTTCCCTACCCCCTCCTTCCCCTCCCCCTTACCCCCCACTCCTTCCCCTCCCCCTTACCCCCCCACTCCTTCCCCTCGCCCTTACCCCACTCCCCCCCCCCTTCCCCTCACAGCTCACATCATGGGCCTTTTGATCCCCACGATAACCGCTTGTACCTGTTTGCTCACGCTGGGCAAAAGGCGAAGGCAAACCCACTTCTATTACGTCGCCTCTTGGATGAATGCGTCTGCGGGCGGCTTCGTGGGTTAGGGAGGGAGGGGGAGGGGGAGCTTCGTGGGGAGGGAGGGGAGGGGGTGGGGGGAAGCTTCGCGCGGGGGTGGGGGGGAGATGTAGTGCAGGTGGGCGCAGGTGCGTCTGTGTGGGGTTATTTCGTGAGAGTGAGGATATGTATATGTGTATGTGTGTATGTATATGTATATGTATATATATATATATATATATATATATATATATATATATATGTTTATATATATATATATATATATATAGAGAGAGAGAGAGAGAGAGAGAGAGAGAGAGAGAGAGAGAGAGAGAGAGAGAGACAGACAGACAGACAGACAGAGACTTAGAGAGACAGACAGTGACACAGGCACAGACAGAGACAGAGACATAGACATATATGTTGATACACATACACATACACAGAAATGGATATGGTATCCATTCCGATTATTTATCCGTCTGATGAGGATTTCTTGACGAGCTCGAAACATCTTGATTTAATTTCTTATTGTGCCTATTTTCTATCCATTTTCTATCTATTTTCTATGTGTGTGTGTGTGTGTGTGTGTGTGTATATATATATATATATATATATATATATATATATATATATATATATATATATATATATATACTAACTGACTGACATAATGCTAAGTAGAGAGACAGGCTGGCAAATATACATACATACATAACATACATACATACATACATACACGCAAACAGACAGACGAACAAACAGACAGACAGTAAAAGAAAAAGACGGACCGACAGACCGAAAGCGAAAGGACGAGCAGCGCGAGGCCCGCAGACGAGACAACAGCAGCAGGAGAGGCGAAACATCAGAAGCGGCGAGATAGCGCAGGTCGTAACGAGCGTCGGCGAGGAAAGTAATTTGAAGGAGTTAATCACGGCGGCGATAGCGGAAGGTGCAACGCAAACACCGCCAAGATAAGACGCCGCCAAACACGACTTCTCGAGTGGGGGAAGGAGAGGAGAAGAAAAACACACACACACACACAGCGCCCGGGATACAGAGAGATAGAAAAGACAGGGGGTAGCGGGATGGGGGGGGGGATGGGGAGAGAGGAGATGACGCAAATTTCAAGATCCGGTGGAAAAAAAAAAACAGGAATTTCTTGGAGACTTCTTGAAAGGACAGAGAAGAACGGAACGCATCGCTTTCCTAATGGCGTTTGAGTCGTCTCTTAATGAAGGAAACCATGTCATTATCGGGACAAGTACAGACGCGGGTAAAAGTTACAGAACAGACACGTGGTTATTCTTCAGGTATTCATTTTTTTTAATCGGCTTTGGAACGCGAACGGGGAATTGAGATTAATGATGAAGAGGGAGCAGAGAGAGGGAAGAGAAGGTGAGTGGGAGGGAGGGAGGGAGAGAGGGAAAGAGTAAGGGAGGAAGAGAGAGAGAGAGAGAAAGAGAGAGCGAAAGAAAGGGAGAGCGAAAGAGAGATAGAGAGAGAAAGAGAGACAGAGACAGGGACGAGGGTAAAGAGTAAGGAAACAAAAAGAGAGAGGACATAATTTAGCAATTCTAATAGTAGTATACCATGTATCGTAAAAGTATCCATATAATCAAACCATTATTTCAACACCCTTTAAACCGACTAAGAATAAATAATGATACTTAGAATCCCATTAAAACGATATAATGGACATAGATGTATAGAATGATAATGACTAAAACAAATCCCTCTGAAACTCGTTTTAACCCATCATACGAAGTGTCAAAAGCGGATGAGAAATTTAAAAACTGTCATGTCAATAAAGATAATAGTGATAATGATAATAGCAATCATAAAACTGATGGACATGATCTTCTAAGACACGTTAGATATTATCAAAAGGTACATCACTTAACTCTTAAGTGATTTGTAATGTTGTTTGCGTACCTTGG